AAAGAAATTTCTTAGTCTCAAATTATTATTAGCATCGTGGTTTAAAAATATATTTCCCTAAAATAAGAAAAGATAACAAAACTACAAAAGTAACATGAACATGATAAAGTATTCAAAAAGTATGTAAGATTATTATATAAAAAAGTAAGCCAGATGTGGTGGTGCACGCCTGTAAAAGTAGCACTTGGGAAGGTGAGGTAGGAGGATCACCACAAGTTTGAGCCCAGCCTGGGCCACATAGTGAGACCCTGTCTCAAAAAAAAAAAAAAGGAATTTTAAAAGATTTGTATACAGAACACATGAAGAACACTTAAGACTCCACACCAAACCAAACCAAACCAAACCAAACCAAAAACACAAACAACCCAGTTTGGGGGTGGGAGGGGAGACAAAGGACTTGAAAAGACGTTTTTTCTAAAGAAGATACACAAAATAGCTAATAAGCATTACGAACAGATGTTATTAGTCATTACAGAAATGTGAATCAAAACCACAATGAGATGCCACTTCACAGTAGTAGGACAGCTACTACAGAAACAAGAAGTCTTGGCAAGATGGGGAGAAACTGGAGCCTCCTGCGTCGCTGGTGGGAATGTGAAATGCTGTAGCCACCGAGGAAAGGAGTTTGACAGCTCACCCAAAAGTGGCCAGGTACGGTGGCTCGTGCCTGTAATCCCAGCAGTCTAGGAGGCTGAGATAGAGGCGGATCAGTGAATTCAAACCCAGCCTGGGTAACTTAGTGGTACATCAGGCATCAACTTGAGAACGTGAGGCGGGCACTGGGGTGGGGAGAGAACATGTTTAGCGTGTACAAAGCCACAGGTCCGATCTCTGAGCGTGAGAAACAAAAGGCCAGTCATAAAAAGGCAAATGCTGTATGATTCTACTTACCCAAAGAGTCATATTCTAGACACAGAGCATAAAGATTCTGAAGGACTAGAGAGGCGGGAGGGGAGACATTGATAAATGGGTATTAGAGTTTCAGTCTGCGGTGTTGAAAAAGTTCTAGAGATGGGTAACAACGATGGCTGTACAACACTGCGAATGTACTCAATGACACTGGGTGGTTTACTCAAAAATGTTTAAAATAGGAAATGTTATGGTACACCAAGTTTTAACACACACGGAGCAGATCTGATGTGGGAGTGTCCAATGGAACAATTCTTTGAAAAACAGTTTAGCAATACGTACTGAAGCTAAGTATATGCACTGCCCAGGGCTCAGCAGTTCCACTCCAATGTACAGACTCAACAAAAATACATTCACCAAAAGACATGCAGTGTTCATTGCCCCACTATTCACAACAGTAAATCATGGAAATAGTAAAGGCCCATCAAGGTGGGATGGAGCAAAACACTGGTAGAGTTACAGAGTGAAATCAATTAACTAACTACAAGGTCACGCAGCAAGGGTGAATCTAACAAACATGAGTTGGGTAGTAGAAACCAGATATAAGAGAAGATACACAAGGGGCTGGGGATGTAGATCAGCGGCATAGCGCCTGCCTGGCAAGCGCAAAACGTTGTGAGTTTGATTCCCGGTACCGGAAAAAAAAAAAATAAAGAGAGGATACACATATTGGCAGGGAAGAAAGAAATACAGTTTCTTCTCAACCCTCAAGTGTTTGTAGAGCAAGAGACCCCATAACAAAAGCCAGATTAACAAGAGAAAAACATGCATGTTTATAATGTGTACACTGTGCATCACATGGGAGAAACCTCAGTGAAAGGTAACTCAAAGCAGTGGTTTAGGACTGTGCTTTATAGAACATCTTCAACAAAGAACAATACATTTTAGAGATGACAAGACAAAGAAAAGCAGTTCATGCTTCCAGAGGCAGGAAGCTGTGGGAAGGTAAATACAGCAGAGTAAACTAACTAATGCAGTGTTATGGCTTCTGTCCAGATGTCCCACCAAAACCTCATGTGGCTACAGGTGGGACTTTTTCCAGAGGTGGCTGGATCTAGAGTGTGTGATTCTGGGATTGATTCAGTTTGCAATGCTGGGCTCAAGGGCACTAAGGGTATGAGTGCTACCTGCCCTAAGTAGTCTGGATAAAACAAAAGGGGCCAAAAGATGCTGTTAAGGTCCCATTCCTTTCGTGGTCTTCTCTGCGCAATGAATTGCTTCTCCTCTGTGATGCCCCTCTGCCGTGTGCCACTCTGCCTTGGAGCCAGCCAACCACATACTGAAATCTCCGCAAATTGAGCTAAATAAATCTTTCCCCCTTTATTTAAATTTGGGTGTTGGGTATTTTGTCTCAGCAATGAGAGAAGAGAAAAATAATTAAGACGCGGTGTGAGGTTTGTTTGCCGAGTCCTCTGATGCCCTCTCTGCATTGATAGGAGCTGTCTCAGTAAAGGAGAATTTATATCCTGTCTTTAGGGGCAGGCAGGGAGGGCAGGGTGGAAAGAGCTCTTCTTCCATTTGCCGCTTCTTAACTGCTTTTGGTTAAAGATATTTATGTCAAAGATACATGTTTGGGAATGACACATTCTGGATTCCATTAGTATGATTCCACTGGTATAAAGTTCAAAAATAGGAAAACTTATCTAGGTAAAAGAAGATAAGACACTGCCCACCCTTTGGAGAGCGGAGTTGTGCATGGGAGGGGCAGAGAGGCTGAAAGACCATAAAGAGCTGCCTTCAGCTCCTCAGAAGCCTGTGCCAGCTCCCGGGAGCCCAAGGGCTCACACACACAGGTAGGATCCTCTGTGGGAAGGCTGGAATGTGCTCTGAAGAAAGAGAAGATTGCTTAGAGACCAGCCCTGCCTCCTTGACGACATTTCCACTGAGGAGTCCTGGGCTGTGACATGCGTGGCCAGTGGGAGGAAAGGAAAGAGGGCCCAATTCAGCTCCAGAGAGTCCCATGGGCCATGAGATCCCCAGGGCGGCCATGCCCTTTATCTCTACCACACAGCTTTGTAGCCTCAGCATCTGACAAATCTGGCTTTGCTGTAAGTCTAGAAGGATGAGGAATGATACGTGACCAATGTTAAATAAAGGGTAAAATTAACTAGGGCACTCTCTGCATCATTTATTCACCCGGCTGTGCAAAGTAATTCTTACAAAATAGTTTTAAAATTATATTGGAAAATTCTTTTTTTGTTGTTTTTTTTTTGGTTTTTCTCCGGTACCAGGAACTGAACTCACGACCTTGCGCTTGCCAGGCAGGCGCTTTTGCCGCTGAGCTAAATCCCCAGCCCCTATATAGGAAAATTCTTATGCTACGATATTTTAAAAATATATAGAATGCCTGACTACATGGTACATATAACCATGCATGGAAAAAGAGGCTGGAAGGAAATGAACCTCCCCAACGATTACAACTTACTGTCCCGTCCGTCACCTTAACCACTGGGTCGTGACTACCAGGTAACAACTTATTTGTAACTTTTCTGTAGGCCCAAGTTTTCTCTTGTCATGAACTTTTGCATGCACTCACCCAATTACTGTGCTGAAGTCCTAATCCCCAGTACCTTACAATGTGATACACTTGAAGACAGAGCCCTAAAAGAGGTGATTATGTTAAAATGAAGTCATAAGGGTGGGCCCTAACCTACTATGACCGTTCTCCATAGAAAGGAAACCTGAACAGACAGTACAAAAAGACCTGTGATGACAGGAAAAAATGGCTACCTATAAGCCAAGGCAAGAGAAGAATCCAGTATCTTAATCTGGACCTTTTAGCCTCTAGAATTGTGAGAAAATAAATTTCAGTCTAAGCCACCATCCAGGGTACTTTTTGTTACCATTTCAAGAGTCAGGAATCTCCTCCCTCTCATACTATTAACAGCCAACATTTCTTCTTGATTTAATAGAGACTAAGAGAAGCACAGAGGAAACACCCACATTCACTAGGTGATTTAGTGTTGAAGCTGGGCTGAAAACCTATGTAAAAGCCCCTCAAGAATCTGTAAATTGGGAAGCCTAACACTCCCACGCCTTAGGCATGTAGTAAATTTTGTGTTCTCCCTACCCACCCCCCCT